GTTTACAAAACTATATATGATTCTAAAACTATACTTGTTCGAATTTCTATTCAGATTCTTCACATGATTTTGTTTTCAACTCCGAATTATAGATAACTATGTACGTTGTAACTTATGAAAACGTGCTTGGTGAATACATGGTGACCTAACATCTTTGTCGATATTCCTGAAGTAATTAAATTACGAGAATACAATAAAACACAATGGGCAATCCAATATACTGCTTATATAGTAGCTAGGTATAGACATTACGGACTGCGTTCAAACGAAAATGGATTACCCACAAAGGTTGGTAATACGAAACGCTGTAAAGTGTAAAGGCATTATTGTATTATTATTTATTATACATGGAAGCTGAAAAGCACACACTTACATAAAGTAAGCCGACGCAATATTAACTATTATATATTTATATACAATATTGTAATGTGGTGAATAGTTATTATATATTATTTAGTTAGGTATATACATACAATATATTTTAATCTAGGTACGCATAGGTAGTTGTTTGATAAACTCTCAGAACTCCATAGCCACATAATGAAGTGTAGGTAGGTACATGATATACCGTTCGTCCAAAATAACAAAGTACACTCTATGACTCGATTACTCGGATTACTGATATTACTCAGTACCCTATACATATTAATATATTATTGAATTCTATTTGCCAGAAATGAGACYAGATTATTAGATCATAAATCCCTATATAACCTATAAACCCATATATATCCCTATGACCCTATATTTTAACTCTAGTATTTTGCGGACGTGCAACAAATTTTTCTGTGTACTTTGTTTTCGTAGACACACCATATTGATATAATATAAAATATAACCAATAATTGCAATTTTTCAATTAATACCAGTAGGTAACTATAATGAAATAGGTTTTCAAGTGCTTATACAAGCCCCTAATCCCTATACTAGATGATCATTTTATTTTTAACCAGATAAAATCAAGGAAAATATAAGGATTTTTTAAAGAATTTTTAATTTTAGTTTTAGTTTTTTTCTCTTCAAACAATTTTTAAGTTTAAAAATGGGTAAGCGTCAGTGCCACAACCAGGATTTGTTAATGTAGGAGGAATAAAGTCCTGTTTGTTCACCAAACTAGAACAAATTGTCCATATATAATTCATAACACAATGCACAACTAAATGCAACATTTAAAATTGTATATCTATAATGAATATTTCATAACACTGAAGAAACGCATTATTGTACTTTTTATAAGTTTATAATATAAAATGATTAAATATTCGAAAAAATAAATTTCAAATTAGCAACTTTTAACATAACACGATAAATCTTATGGTCTACGAGTAGTGGGGAGGGTAAAACACCAGAGTGGCGGAGTCTATTCGTTTGATTGCGTCAGTGCGTCATATTTATCACTAATAAACGTATTGATATAAACGTAATATTGTAATGCGTTATATATTTATATAACAAGAATTATGACCTATTAATTATCAGGGATGGTCGATGAGCAAACAACA